ACACACACACACACACACACACACACACATATGTTTTCAAAGCAGGGTTTCCCTATCCTGGAACTCACTCTGTAGACTAGACTAACCTCAAACTCAGAGATACACCTGCTTCTGCATCCCCACCCTACCCCAGTGCTGGAATTAAAGGCAGATATCTGCCTAGAATTAAAGACCGGGCCTGATATAAACATATTTTTACGTGATAGATTTTGTAAGCAATAATGTTTATGTTTGACGTGCAGTAAAGGTCATCTATTCTAAAAAAGTCTTGTCTTGTCACCCAGATCAACTTAAAGTCTTACTTAAGAATTACAGTTGGGTATTTTCAATATCTTGGAAATTTAAAGCAGAATTTGATGCTTAATTTTTATAAAATACTATGCCTCCTCTGGCATTTATAATACTTATATTTATTATTCATTTAAACTATGTGACAGTTACAAAGCTAGGTTTGCCTATACTTTAGGAAAATTGCTCCAACCTTGGCAAGAATAGAGATTCCATATTCGTGGAGGGAAAAATGATAAATTATAGACAGCAAGCCAGAGATGTCATAAATGTCATCATGGGGCGGGAGAAAGAGGTGCTCTGGAGGACAAGACTAATTCTTCCCAGACTTCCTTACATCTCTAGGTCAAGGGTCATGGCTGCCTTCTTGATGGCCAAGCAGGAAAACCTTGTCTTGGGAGCGTCTTCAGCTCTTCCAAGTATGTTTGCCCACTATGAAATATGCTCAGTATGGAAAACTGGGCACCTTTAGGAAGTGTTAGACCTGGGTAAAAGAAAGCAAACCTTTCATTTTGTTTTATTTTTGTTTTATTCATATCACATACCCAGAGCTTGCCCTTAAAATTGTGGCTGTTGCTGCTTGCTCCTTTTCTCAGCCCAAGAGCTTGGCATTCTCAAAATTACACATGGTGGGGATGGAAGGTAGCACTAGCTACAGACTTTCCAACGGAGGGACTCAAGGAAGGACCTTTGGGGTAAGGGGTATGGTCATTATGTTAATGGTCTGTATAGTTTTCTCCATGGCTAAATATAACAAGACTTAACAGATTAGATACTTTCATTATGTTCAGAGTTTTGCTTATCAGCCACAACTGCTTTAAAAGTCAAAAATTAGAAAGAGATCTCACTGAATTGTCTTGAGTTTTATTATTCCTTTCCTCATTAAACATGTTATAGAATGAGCTGTGTAGATCAATGATAGGGTAGGGGTGAGAGTGGCAGAGAGTGCATAGTGTACTCAAGACCCTGGATTCTATCCATGTCTCTCTCTCTTTCACACACACACACAGAGAGAGAGAGAGAGAGAGAGAGAGAGAGAGAGAGAGAGAGAGGGAGAGAGAGAGAGAGAGAGAGATACACACTTCTGCCCCCATAGAGTAGCAAACAAAACCTGGTTTGCCAGATACTCAGATTGGAGCTTTATCTGACTAGAAGGAAAACTTATATCCCACCAGGAAACATGAGCCACTTCCAGGAAGCTAAGAGAAATTTCAGATGCCCAAGTAACAAAATTAGCTATTCATATCATAGATAAGGATCTGCAACACATCTAATGGTCCTGTCAGAGACTTTTGCATAAGTCTCAACTCTACCTGAGTGTCAGAAGTCCTGTTGTTCTTATTGATTTCTGATTTTAAGATATCTGAACCTCGATTTGATACTCAGTACACACTTTTACAGGTTGAGTGAGGTTTTTGTTGATGTTGGTCCAATTAAGTACACTTTGGAGATGACACATAGGACTAAGGAAGGGGCATTTCATCAAGGGAGGCTTTCAAGACAGCTATGACTCCAAGCACAGCAGAGGTAGAATGGAAATAAGACACCAGAAGAAGTGCCCATAATGTGTCCTGAAGGGATATTGATGCTGTATATGAGTTTGTCCATGTCTCAGGAAATTAAAGGGTAAGCATCCAATGAGAACATATGTAGGAAAAGCTGTCCTGCACTTTGAATAAGTAGAAGCCTGGTAAAAGGTGAATCTTTATCCTTTCAAGTCCCAAGAATGTTTAGTTTCTCAAACACAACTGCTAAAAGTTTGTATGGCTTCATTTCTTTTATAGCATTTATTTATTTATTTATTTATTTATTTATTTATAACTCCAAGTTTTATTCTCCTCCTGGTCTACCCCCCCCAACTGTTCCATATCCAATACCTCCTCCCCATCTTCCTGTCTCCCCAAGGATGTCCCCACCCCCACCCCACCAGACCTCTAAACTCCCTGGGTCCTCCAGTCTCTTGAGGGTTAGGTGCATCTTCTCTGACTAAACCCAAACTCGCAGTCCTCTTCTATATATGTGTTGGGGACCTCATATCAGCTTGTGCATCCTGCCTGGTTGGTGTTCCAGTGTCCAGGTTAATTGAGATTGCTGGTCCTCTTGCATGGTCACCCTCCTCCTCAGCTTCTTCCAGATTCCTCTAATTCAACTACAGGGGTCAGCAGCTTCTGTTCATTGTTTGGGTGCAAATATCTGCATCTGACTCTTTCAGCTGCTTGTTAGGTCTTTGGGAAGGCAGTCATGATAGGTCCCTTTTTGTGAGAATTTCGTAGCCTCAGTAATAGTGTCAGGTCTTCAGGCCTTCCCTGGAGCTGGATCCCACTTTGAGTCTGTCACTGAACCTTTTCCTCAGCCTCCTCTCCATTTCCATCCCTGCATTTCTTTCAGACAGGAACAATTATGTGTCAGAGTTTTGACTGTGGGATGCCAAGCCCATCCCTCACTTGATGCCCTATCTTTCTGGTGGAGGTAGGCTCTACAAGTTTCCTCTCCCCATATAGGGCATTTTATCTAAAGTCCCTCTCTTTGAATCTCTCATCTCCCAGATCTCTGGTACATTCTGGAGGGTCCCCTGAACTCCCTATCTCCCGAGCATCTTACTGTGAATATGTGCCTCTCTCATACTATAAGGAACTTTCCTTGTGATACAACAGAACATTCTACTCTTATTCAGGAGTAATATTTAGCATTTAATATTAGATGACTGCACAAATGTACTCCAGAAAGACATTTTCAACCTTATAACTGCTTGATCAAGCTTCCTTAAACAGGACTCATGCTCTACTCCAGAGAATCAATGATCCAGGCCTACCTTCAAGGTACTCCTAATCTAAAAGCCTTAGTAACCTTATTATAGTTTAAACTTAATAGAAGACTCATATGCTTATAACCGCATTTGGACACCCAGGACAATATGTTAGTAATAACTTGACTAGGAGGCTGAGAATTTGGTAACTGAGCTGGATATCAACGATGACTCTACAGATCTAATTAACATCAAAATTACCAAGGTTTCAAATATGGAGTCACAACATTCAGATGAGCAACAGTGACAGGATGTGACATTTTGTGGGTTGTTAGTGAAAGAAGGTGGCATGCATGAAGAGGAGACAGTTTCACACCTTGACTCCTGTTACTCTTTTTATTCTGTACTACCTATGTTTCCAGGACTGTGGTAGGCATTCCACCTACTCCCCAGAGCTTTCTTGACCTGAAATGTCATATAGAAAATTGAGTTTAATTATAAAACTTCAGAATAATACATTTAAAATAGTACTTCCTG